CTTACATCTAATGTTGTTAAATGAATGTTTATTGCATTATTTCAGTATCGTGTGTCACCATGACGGGGTTTAGTGTTTGTGTGAATGACACTGCACCTTCTATATAAAAGTATTGCCCTCCTTAGCTCTAGAAAAGCTGTTTGTGATGAGCTTTGGTTCATCATGTGACTTTCTCATCACCACCAGTTTTTGGTGATTATCAGTGCATTACAATGGTTCAAAACAGATATTAACACTTCAATATGTTGGTTTATTAACATTACATCAGTTAATGAAATACGGCATTTTATTGTGAATTTAAGTTAAGTATGTAAAACCTAAAATGTTGCTACCATATTTTTTACGGTGAAGTTCTGGCAACCACAGCTGCCGGTATTTTACTGTAAATGTCACAGATTTTTTTTTTTTTACAGTGTAGCATAAACTGGTATTCGTGATAATTTCACATAGAAGAAGGACACACACATTGAATCGTGTTTTCACCGATTAATTTGTCATCACATGGCTACTTTAAACAGCCCCATTAAAGGGTTAGTTCACCCAAAAATGAAAATTCTGCCATTTTGAAGAATATCCGCTGGACGTAAACAGCGTATGCTGTTTACGTCCAGCGGATATTCTCCAATAGACGAATTGTTGAATAAAGTTTTTTTTTTTCTTTTGCACACAAAAATTATTCTCGTAGCTTTGTATGAACGGGTTTGAAACGACATGAGGGTGAGTAATTAATGACAGAATTTTCATTTTTGGGTGCACTAACCCTTTAAGCCTTTAGCCCAAAAGAGCACACATTTAGAAAGATAATGATAAATTCTCATATGCTCTCACCTCATTTCTTTACAGGGGACGATTCTATATTACATTAATGTTCCACTAAACTATGCGATCTGAAGTTTTTGAGAGCTCTCTCCCATCTCACTGCCATCACACTAGTGGGGCAGAAATGTCATCAAAATTATTTTTTTTTAATTTTTTTATTTTTAAAGTGACATTTAATGAGTTTTTGTTTTTATATAATATGCCTACGATATAGGACTTAGCTTATCGCACAAACAAGAGTCCTGTTTTTCCGAATATCTGCACGATCACAAATGTACAATAAACAACAAGTTACTGAGTAACTTTCAGACACAAAATTCCATTTTGCTCCGTCAGAAAGAAAATAGAACAAACAGCAGAACTGCTGCATCTCGGAGCAACACTGTGTTTTGTTCCTCGGTGTTACACGGAGCAGTAAATGATTCAATCAGGTTTGCAAAGTTAAATGTTAAATTGATTTAATGGTTGATTTAAGGATTCAACTCACTCATTAAGACAGTCACTTGCTGCCACCTACTAGGCCTAACGGTTGTAGTTTCTTATTTAAAAAACGTAGCTTATTATTTGATTTTTGCAATATTTTAATATTTCTACAATTAAATGTTATATTTAAATTTAACATAATTTATGCAGAATACATGTATAGATTTTGTTGATAGTGATTTTGTAAGGCCCACTCAATCGGCCCAACAACGGAATCCAATGGCGTGGGCGAAGGTATAATGCGTGTAGGTCTTTTACTTGCGCTTCTGCAAAGTTCACTTAATTTATCAGGATTTAGTTTCAATTTTAGTCTTGCTCCGTGTTTAATCTGACTCCAATTTCAAGTGATCATTACATTTAGATTGTATTCCTAATTAAGAACTGATCACAAATATCGATTATGTCGAGACCGGACGCGGTCTCACGGACACAAACTCGTCAGTTCTGATCTTAGACAGGGGATGCAGGGTAAATATCTACCTTTAAGTTTGCTGCGCTCTGCTTGCTCCAACAAAAAGCATAGTTTTGTATATTCACGAAAACTGCAACTTACTAAGGCAGTGGTAGTCAGAAATCTTTAAGGATGATTTCAATGATTTAAGGATAATGCAGAATTAATCAAATATAATATTTTATTTGTCAGGTAAAAATGTATCATGCCAATTACATAATTAAACAATTAGAAGTCACTTTAAAATTAAATTCAGTACCAATTCAGATAAATACATAACATCAATTGCTTAAAGATGAATCTTAAGAGTGAGAGATGCATACCTGACAGCAGAGAGACACACAGCAGCATGTGAGAGTTCTAGTACAGAGCTCCAGAGACTCACACACACTGTGTGGGGGGTTTTCTGGTTACGGAATCCCAAAGTAGTGTTTTGCTAGAACAAAGAAATCTTCAAATCAGTTGTAAAAACATAAAAGACCTTTTGGTTTGTTAGGATCGGACACAAACTCGTCAGTTCTGATCTTAGACAGGGGATGCAGGGTAAATATCTACCTTTAAGTTTGCTGCGCTCTGCTTGCTCCAACAAAAAGCATAGTTTTGTATATTCACGAAAACTGCAACTTACTAAGGCAGTGGTAGTCAGAAATCTTTAAGGATGATTTCAATGATTTAAGGATAATGCAGAATTAATCAAATATAATATTTTATTTGTCAGGTAAAAATGTATCATGCCAATTACATAATTAAACAATTAGAAGTCACTTTAAAATTAAATTCAGTACCAATTCAGATAAATACATAACATCAATTGCTTAAAGATGAATCTTAAGAGTGAGAGATGCATACCTGACAGCAGAGAGACACACAGCAGCATGTGAGAGTTCTAGTACAGAGCTCCAGAGACTCACACACACTGTGTGGGGGGGTTTCTGGTTACAGAATCCCAAAGTAGTGTTTTGCCACTTTGCATATTTACTAGGGGTTGCACCGACTAGTCGACTTCAATGCTCTGCCATGACGCTTTAAGCTTGACGTCGACTAGTCGCTGGTCCTATAGAGGGCGCAACTAGGATCTCGTAACCCAAAATGTCACACACCTAGTTTTGGGGATGAAAGAACTACCACATTTTGCTATAAGTTTGATTGCATCATATAATAATTGCTGTTAATAGTGTTCATCGTCTGTTTGATTACGTCTTTAATTTATTTTTCTGTACAGTTCTGCCATACATTAACTGACAGTCACCACTGATAAGCTACCACTAAATATTGTAGAAACTTAATTTGCTGTAAAGTTGCTTTGCAACGATTTGTATTGTGAAAAGCGCTGTACAAATAAACTTGAATTGAATTGAATTGAACTGAAAGCAAATGGTTATCAAAGATCTTTATTGGGGCATCTCCCACATCAGAAGAACAGGTTTTTTTTATTTTTATTCTTGCCTGTTCTGTTGATGTGAGAGTGAAACCACCTTCCAGTCGCACCTGAAGTATTTATACTGACCACAAATAAAACAGCTTGAAACAATAGATTTGTGAAATTTGCATGACTGACTGAGACCTGAGGGGAAGGAGAGGGTGTGAGGAGTCAGGAACTTAGCATGGGGGGAAGAGATGGGATTGGGCCAGCTGTTGTTCTGTGCTTTTTCTCATAGATCCTCTCTTCAGAGTGTGAGGAGTCAGGAACTCAGCATAGGGCGGGGGAATAGATGAGATCGGGCCAGCTGTTGTTCTGTGCTTTTTCTATCTAATCTGTAATCTGTTTCTATTTAATCTACTAATCTGAAGCCTATCCTCTCTTCAGATTAGTGAGTTTTATTGTTTTATTACAGGATAGGAATCTTGAATTCAGTTTTGGTCAAATTCATCCTTACAATTTCATTGGATTGTTAATATCCAACATGCCTTTTTATTCAGATTGAATTAAATGATTACATTTAAGAATCTGACATAAGAGGACAGATATGACATCTATACATCTCTGGCTTTTTTTGCTCAGTGTTATTTTAGGGTTTTGATCTATCAACTGAGAGAACACATTCTGTTTATGGTGTTATAATTACTATTTAATATTGCATCTAAAATTTGACTAGGCTAGACAAGTTGCACATTAATTGTACTGTATATACAGTGGGTACGGAAAGTATTCAGACCCCCTTAAATTTTTCACTCTTTGTTATATTGCAGCCATTTGCTAAAATCATTTAAGTTAATTTTTTTTCCTCATTAATGTACACACAGCACCCCATATTGACAGAAAAACACAGAATTGTTGACATCTTTGCAGATTTATTAAAAAAGAAAAACTGAAAAATGCTCAGTATTTAGTAGAAGCACCCATTTGATCTAATACAGCCATGAGTCTTTTTGGGAAAAATGCAACAAGTTTTTCACACCTGGAATTGGGGATCCTCTGCCATTCCTCCTTGCAAATCCTCTCCAGTTCTGTCAGGTTGGACGGTAAACGTTGGTGGACAGCCATTTTTAGGTCTCTCCAGAGATGCTCAATTGGGTTTAAGTCAGGGATCTGGCTGGGCCATTCAAGAACAGTCACAGAGTTGTTGTGAAGCCACTCCTTCGTTATTTTAGCTGTGTGCTTAGGGTCATTGTCTTGTTGGAAGGTAAACCTTAGTTCCAGTCTGAGGTCCTGAGCACTCTGGAGAAGGTTTTCGCCCAGGATATCCCTGTACTTGGCCGCATTCATCTTTCCCTCGATTGCAACCAGTCGTCCTGTCCCTGCAGCTGAAAAACACCCCCACAGCATGATGCTGCCACCACCATGCTTCACTGTTGGGACTGTATTGGACAGGTGCCTGGTTTTCTCCACACATACCGCTTAGAATTAAGGCCAAAAAGTTCTATCTTGGTCTCATCAGACCAGAGAATCTTATTTCTCACCATCTTGGAGTCCTTCAGGTGTTTTTTTAGCAAACTCCATGCGGGCTTTCATGTGTCTTGAACTGAGGAGAGGCTTCCGTCGGGCCACTCTGCCATAAAGCCCCGACTGGTGGAGGGCTGCAGTGATGGTTGACTTTCTACAACTTTCTCCCATCTCCCGAGGTCTGAATACTTTCCGTACCCACTGTATATGAACCTCAAAGCATATTTCAATATTTGTGTTTTTGTGTTACTCCATAATGATGTTCTAGTTGAGGGCATTTGTACTGTATAGGTATAGGGCCCAAACATAACCTCAAGCCCAGGGGCCCCCGGCTCCCTAAGTCCTGCCCTGGTGCTTTTACAGAATCGTGAACTACACCCCTGACATGTCAAAAGCTGAAGTGGATGAATCCATGGAGAAAGCCCTGCAGGTCTGGGCCAATGTCACTCCTCTGAGATTCACCCGTATCTACAAAGGCACAGCTGACATCATGATCTCCTTTGCTACAAGTTGTAAGTTGTCTATCTATCTGTATTTATATTTTGTTGAATTCTTTTCAGTTGAATTAATTGTAACTGATGATGTATGCCCGTGTATCCCCATGTACTGTCATTACATTAATATAAAATTGTTCAATAAAATAATTATTGCAGTTAGTGCAGTGAATATTTGGGTGAAATCCAAGTATCACAATGCCTTAATCTATTCTGTTATCTCAAGGCCATATATGTTATGATGTTCATAAAATGGCACAGGTTTATCTAAGAGAAAATAATAACGAAGATTGAATTCAGTGAAAGCATTTGAATTTTTCTGGAAAACTGTCTGGGAAAAGTTTCGCTGAGTCTGCTTACAGAACCAAGAGCGTGCGGCGTGCGTGTCTGCACGATCACGTGACGGGATCTTCTATTGAACACTACATATAAAACTAAACTCTTTCCTACAGATCATGGTGATGCTTCCCCATTTGATGGACCACAAGGCACTTTGGCTCATGCTTTTGCTCCTTCTCTTGGAATCGGTGGAGATGCACATTTCGATGATGATGAGTTTTTCACATTCCGCTCATCTAAAGGTGAGTTTTACTAAATGTAGTTTTCAGAAGTTCTTAATTTTAGTAGTGCATTGAACTCATTACTGCAGATTGTAACTTTAGCACCACTTACATTTTACTCCAAAATGTGTTCATTTTTTAATTGTACCTAAACAGTCATGCTTAATTTCTCCACAGGATTTGTCCTGTTCTTGGTGGCCGCCCATGAGTTTGGTCACTCTTTGGGTCTTTCTCATTCCGACGTTCCTGGCGCTCTGATGTTTCCCACATACAGCTTTACTGATCCGGATCGTTTCTCTCTGTCCAGTGATGACATCAGAGGGATTCAGTCGCTCTATGGTAAGCATATGGTCTTCAAGAGCACATCGACAATCTTTAAGTCGAAAATATTCAGTCATTTGTTTAATATGTGGTATTTCCTTCAGGCACAAACAGAGACATAACCCCCATCCAACCTCATCCAGAAGTACCAACAACTCCTAAGGCTTGTGACCCTAATCTGATCTTGGATGCAGCTACAACTTTAAGGGGTGAAACAATGTTCTTCAAGGACGGGTAATACACAAATCAAATAAAAATTGAGTGTATTTTTATATAAATAGACCTAAAATATTTAAATCAAGTGACTTCATGTCTCTCTCTTCAGCTTTTTCTGGCGTAGATCTCCGAGCAGAACTGTGACGCAACTTCCGATCAAGAGTTTCTGGGCCAGCGCTCCGGATAATATAGATGCTGCTTACGAGGATCCAGTGCAAGATAAACTTTTCCTATTCAAAGGTATCTTCTCAAACAATCTGGGAATGCTGGAACCACAATCACCCTTACAATCTCTATATCAGTGCACAGAAAAACTCTTATTGTAGTCTGTCTTTGTTTACAGGTAAACAAGTCTGGGCATTTAATGGCAGCAATCTTGAGCGCGGCTATCCCAAGACTCTTAGCAGCTTTGGTCTGTCATCATTGGTGAGAAAAGTTAGTGCTGCCGTCTATGACAAAAACTCAGGAAAAACACTGCTCTTTGTTGACAAGGTTTACTACAGGTGGGTCAAGTGCTGTATCATAAACAAAAGCCCTTACAGTTAGCTCTGAAAAGCTGTTGGAATTCCCTTTTTTGGTAGCTATGATGAAAGGGCAAAGAAGATGGACAGAGGATATCCCCAACAAGTGGAAAGTGGATTTCCAGGGTTGACTGGAAAGGTTACAGCAGCCCACATGTCTAATGGTAGGTGTTTCTAATATTTTTCTACAAACGTTAATGTGCAATGATTATACTTAATAAAATTGAATGATTTTTGTCTTCCAGGTTACATTTATCTCTACAGTGGGAGAAATGTGTATGAGTTCGGATACATAGGCGGAGTTTCACTTTTATGCATGGGGGGAGGGCACCCACTGGCAGACGAGCCAAGAGCACTTTTTTATGTGTTCTACATTTCATGTATTTATGTAACACATATTCTTCATTAAAATACATTTAGAATGAACAATAACTGCTGTACAAAGAGTAAAAAAAAAAACATACCACTATCTTTCTCTCATTTCTTCTGATACATTTTCAGTCAAATCGTTCTCTGTGTGCTAGATCGGAGCCAGTTTCTTATTCTCCTCATAACTGAGAAACTTATTTCTGATGTAGCCGAACCAACGGGCAGCGTGAGTGCAAGCTGCAGTAGTCTGAAAAAGTTTGGATATTCGTCCCTCTGTACTGCACATTTAAGGCCCCGTTTACACGAGTGCGTTTTCGTTTTAAAACGTATAACTTTTGCTACGGTTACGCCTATCGTTTACACTACTCCGGCTATGGCGAGTGAATCATGCCGGGGATTACCTACCGAAGTCGACAGTCGTGCACTTTTTACATGTGAGAAGGGGTACGTCGCAACACAGGACGCGTGACACCAACGCCGTAGAGAAGTACGTCGCAACACAGACACGTGACACCAACGCCGTAGAGAAGTATGGCGAGTGATTCATGCCGGGGATAACCTACCGAAGTATGGCGAGTGATTCGTGCCTTTTCTAAGCTAAGCAGGAGAAGGAGAAGGAGCAGTCTACCCTTCCGTCGCCGCCAGTCCGTGTAGATTTTTGAATGGGATTGATAGGGACGGCAGACGACAGACCGGCGGCGACGTCACGGCGACGTCATGGTAGGAACTATACCTGACGGCGACGTGGCTACGGCGTATGTGAGAAATGTATTAAAATGATGTACGTCTGAACTAGGCACGTCGCATCACAAGACGCCTGATATATACATCGTATCAATGTACGTCGCCTTAAAATGCCTGATACATAGCCTATGTTGTGCCCATGTATGTCGCCTTTAAAACCATTTAAA